ATATATATATATATATATATATATATATATATATATATATATATATATATATATATATTGCTTTTAAACCATTTTGTGAAAGATTTAAAATAAATCAAATGTTAATAATTGTAAAAATTCGGACAAAATGGAAAACAAACTTGATAATGTTATATATTTATTTAAAAAAAAATAAAGGAGTGGTGGCGCCTAGTAATAGAAGATGCCACCATTCACAACAAGGCCGCCACCATTCCGTCTTCGCCCACGACCTCCTCCACGATTTCCTCTTCTGCTGGAGCTTCCAGCACCCCTGTTAGGAGGATGATAGGCCCAGCTGAATGACTCACCATCATTCCCTCCTAACCGGACCCACCGCAAAAATGATCGATTGCTCATCGGTCCAGGGTGCTGGTCCCTATATCTTCTATAGGCACCGTAGGTAAGCTCTAAAAGACAATAAATTGTAACTACATTAGTATTGAATGGTAAAAAATAACAAATAATCAAATAAAATCAAATACTGCTCTGGGTTTTACTTCTACTGCACTTTGAAGGATAACATAATATAAATGTACTAATTTGTGAATATAAATAAAAATATAATGAATTAAATAATCATTCAGCAACATTTCTAAATCATAAATTTACCAGCAGAAGGTTGTGTTAGTTGTTGTGGAGGTTGTGGGACTAAAGGTAAAATTTTTTAAAAATAAAAATACAATTTACTTGCTATCGATAAGATATGCATGCACATATTAGAAAAAATACTTTTACACATGTAAATTATGCATACACATATTAGAAAATAATAGTTTATAAACTTAGCAGTTGTAGCAGCTGAAGATGTAACTAAAGGTTAACAAAGTTGAAATAAAAATAAATATTGTGATTGCTAAGAAATGCATAAACATATGAAAAAGGAAAATTTTGTAAACATACCAATTATTGCAGATGTAGATGGAACTAAGTTAAAAAAAAAGTGTAATAAAAAATTTATATTGCAATTGATCCGAAATACATACATACATGAACAGGCTTTTTGAAGGATGCAATAAAAATATTTTTAAGCTTACCACTCAATGCAATTGAGGATGGAACTAGAGCTAAAAAGTTTTAATAAAAAATAAATTTGCAATATTCAAGAAATGCAAAAATTAAAAATTAATAATTGCTAAACTTACCACTAATTGCAGATGAAGATGTTGCTAAAGGTAAAAAAAGTAATAAAAAAAATAAATTTTGCAATTGACGATTTTGAAATTGGTATTAAATCTATTTACAGATTAAAAAGTACTAGCTTTTAAAATAACTAACCGTAGTAACTGATAAAAGGAGTGAAGATCAAAAATAATATAAATTAAACCAAGATATACATTCTTATATTTGATAATCTAGTTATCCTATACAAACGTACCTGTGGTAGGTTACAAACTTACCTGTGGTAGGCTGGGTAGATTGAACTAAAAATAACAAAAAAAGTGTATAACTACAACAAAACACTATGAAATTATGAAAGAAACTATCATAGTTATGTGGAAGATGCAACAACTGTATTAACATAATGAAAACTAACAGTGAAAATGTAAAGAAAATATATTAATAAACAACAAGCTAACATTAGGAATGGTTATTCACTTTGTTTATATATTAATTACATTATATTGGTTGTGGTTATATATAAAATATGTGATTTATACTTACGATATCTCAAAAAAGCTTCATAATGCGCAGCATTAAACAACATGTAAACATTAGGCATGCTTGTATTATGATTTAAATAATAATCCAAAGATAAAGAAGTATACAATCCAAAAATAATAAAAGATGATAATAAGATGATAAGTTTTATTATATTTGAAAAATACTAACAAGGTTTTTGCAAGTAATAAACCAATGAATTATCTGATTTGTATGTTGTGTCATAATAAAATTGACAACAGATACTAATATCTGACAATACATTCAAAAGCAAAGTTTTAAATTGAAGCATTAATCTTCTTTTTAATGTAACATATAAAAAAAGATTAAGAATTAATCTGTTTTTATAATATAAAAACAGATAAATTATAGTTACATAAAAAAGAATTTTAAATAAGAAAATATTAACAAATGATATATAAATATTTTTTTGATTTAAAATAGTTATTATTGATATTATTATAAAAGAAATTAAACTTACTATCTGTTATAGATCTAACAACATCTCTGTTAGTATTCATTATTTATTTTAATCTAAAAATAAAATTCAAAATAATACGATATTGGGATTTGTTATGTTTTTGTATAGTCGGCCCCCCTATCCACACCCGTAACAAGCTTAACGAAAAAAAACAACAGAAAAACCAAAATTATGTACCAAAAGTCTAACACCTAGTATACTATCTGCTACCAATTATTTTTCGTTGATTTTTGGCAGGTGCTTAGAAAATGCATGTAAAATATAGAAAAACTAACAAAAAAAGCCGGCTCAACATTCCTTCGACATTAAATTAATGTGAGAACAGGGACAATATTTTCATGCAATATTGTCAGCAAAATAATACATAAAAATGTTGGGTAACCGTGCATAAAAGTCATATAAAAATCTAGATCTACCTTTCTTCTTTATGAAAATAATTTATGTTTATGCATGTTTCTTAAAACAAACACAAAAAAAAACGTTTACCTAAGGCTACCTAAAATAAGTGGTATAAGTAATATAATACATTTTAAACTATCTGCTACCAATTATTTTTCGTTGAAATTTGGCATGCCCATAGATACGCATGTAGAAATATGTCTGAATATAAAAAAAAGCCGGCTCAACATTTCTTCTACTACAAATTCATGTGAGAACACCAACCGAATATTCAGAAGCAAAATAATCGATAAAAAAGTGTAATAACTATGCATAAATTTCTTAAATAAAGCAAGATTAGCTTTTCTTCTTTCCAAAAAGTATCTATGTGTATATCTGTTTCTAAAAAGAAATTCCACAAAACTACGTCTGCCTCACGCTGCCTTAAAAAAGAGTGAAAAAAACGAGAACCAAAATTTTAGCACAAAAATCGGTTCCGTAAATCGCGATATCCGCGTACCTACTATTATATTTATTATGCATTATTGCAATGTTACTCCGACAGCAAAAAAAGTACTTTTAGCCTAAAATTTTCTTTTAGCCTAAATTTTCCTTAAATTTAGGAAACATTGATTATTCAAAGTTACCCTACTTTGAGTTATATTTTAGCTAAGTAAAAATAAATATCCTTTTAGTAGCAAAAAACATGTTATTTCCTATTATTTTGAGTTTTTATTAAAATTCGAAAAATAATTCAATAAAATACTAAAAAATCTATTCTGATATTTACAATATTATATTGTACTATATTGAATATAGTAACAAATATTCTAAATTAATAACACATGATATTATCATCACATTCGACTGTGTAACTGGAAATCGAGGGAAAAAATATTTTTGAGAAATAAAATTCAATTATCTATGGTCAAACTTTTGAAAAAAAGGATAATTTATCATATTATCCTTTGTTAAAGCAACAGGCAAAGAAAGTACCAAAGAAAAAAAAATTTAAAAACATTTACACGTTTTATTCAATGTTACACGCAAATTCAAAGTTACCCAGAATGACTGTAAGTTTTATTACTAAAATAATTTAGCCGACGCAACTGTAGGAATAGCACAAACACATTTTGTAATTACCATAATAAGGTATCCATAGTAAAGGTATCATAGCTTTTAATTTTAAATGAATAAAAGTAAATTAAATAAAAAAGTATATGCTAATTTCTATTTTGTAATTAATTATTATCTCAAAAATGTATAGCTAGACAATACACTTTTTTCTTTTTTTTATGAAAAAGTTTTTCCCGCGAACGCACTTGTTTTTGACTGCTCTTCAAAAATATTAATTTAGAAATGGAAATAACTAGAGGTCAAAGCCGCCGCCATTAGCGAGAAGCCGCCGCCACTTGTACCTACTTTTTACAGCCGCCACTTTGCGTTATTAGCAACTACTAAGCCGCCAATCAAACAATATATTCAGCCGCAGCCGATTTCAAAGTCACTATTGTTGGCTGGAAGAAAAAAAAGAAGAGTTTAATAACCCAAAGTTCTCTTGTATAACTTAAAAGCAACTAGTTATTTGGAGCTTCTTTTTTTGTGTGTGTAGCTTTTCCATTTGCCATTTAATTTATTTTCTCTAAGATGAAATAGTAACAACGCACTCCTCCGTTTTATAAGTACATGAACGTCCGCTCTTTCTTTCATATTTTTCAAATATTCTTGGCTTATAAAGATTGGCTTCGCTTTAAAGACACAAACAGAGTTTGTATTACTTTGTAATGGATCAAGAAGAATCGCGTAATTCACATAACAGTTCTTTAAAATACTTGAATATTAAGTTGTGCAGCTCATTTAAAAAAACAACCACAGATTCATCATTAGTATGGAAATACTATGGTCAAATAATGACACGAAATGGTAAAGTTATCGACGATGTACATTATTACTGTAGCGAATGTTTTTTGATAGAAAAAGGAAAAGTCGAGTCCTCAGGTGCAGGTCATTTATCAAAAATTCACAAGGTTAGGATTTCCACATCAAGCAGTAATTTGAAAAATCATCTATTTATTGTTCACAAAATATTAACAGACAAACCTGCCGCTGAAGTGAAAAATGATCAACTTTTACGTAGATGGTGCAGTACCTCTATAGCAAGTTCATCGAAATATGATTTAAGTCGCGATCTTGTCCTTTGGTTTTCTACAGATCTACTACCATTTTCTCATGTTGATAATAAAGGATTTAAAAAGTTTTTTGAGAAAAACATTGGTCTAAAACTTCCCACAGGTTCTGCTGTGAGTCAAGTAGCATTACCTGATATGTACAAATCTTTAAGGCGATCTGTATTGGGAATTTTACAAAATATTGATGCAGCAACAATTTTATTTGATGGTTGGACTGACAAGTATAAAAAAATTAATTATATGGGTCTGAAGTGTTCCATTATCAATGAAAACTGGCATAAAAAAATATTTACTTTGGCTTGTTTGCCTTTAGAATCTCATACAGGTGAAAATTGTCATAATTTTATCAAAGACATTGTTCAAGAATTTTTTCAGAGGCGTTGTAGAGATATGAGGCTGCATACCGTACATGACGGTGCAGCGAATATGATGAAAACCTCTAGACTTTTAGGTTCAAAGGATCCACAACATTGTCTATCTCATATCTTGCATTTAATATTGACATGTGATGGCATAGATAATTGTACTGAAACAAAATGTTTGTTAGAAAAATGCAGAAGAATTGTAACCTGCCTGAATTTCAAGTCAACTTTACTTTTAGAGGAATCACACTGTGAAGCAGACATCAAATTATACAACAATCTTCGAATTCTTGCTGAAGTGAAAAACATTGATGATTTAGAGCAGCAATTTCCCATTCAAATTGATGATGAAGCAAACATGATTGACACAAATAATTTAGATATTTCTTGTAATGAAAAATTTGACGATAATTTCATAAAAAGACAACATAGAAGTCTGAAACAGCAAATACGCACAAGATGGAACAGTGCTCTCTTTATGATAGAATCAATTAACCAATTATTAGATCCTGTAGAAGTTTTACTTAAGAAATGTGGTAGACAAGACCTTTGTTTAGATAATGATGAACAAGCTTTGATTTCAGAATTGGTTAAATTTTTAAAACCATTTGAATCATTAACCCTTGTGGTCAGTGCTGGAAATTCGCTTTCTATTTTGCCATTAGTTAAACACAAAATACTAAAACTTCTTTCGATTAACTCTTGTGATTTGAATGAAATTAAAAAATTAAAGGAGTGTTGCTCCCGAAAAATTGATAAAAGATTTAAGTTATCTACTTCTGCAAAAATTTGCTGTTTTTTAGATCCAGCCACTAAAATTTTATATACGAGAGATGAAATAAAGGAAAGTTTGTTGGAGAATGCATTAAACATAAAAGTGAACCAATTAGATTTAATTCAAGGTATTATATGTCTATACAACTAACTACATCAATAAAAGAGGTTTTTGTTTTGGAGACAATTACTGAAACACAAACAAATTTTATTGAAAAAATAATTAATTTTTTCATATTGTTGAAAGTGGAAAATAGAGTAGTTAATATTTTATTAAATCATTGAGTTCATCAAGTAATGTTTGTTTATTATTGATATCGTTTTTTATTAAATTGATTTATCTGGTTTTAGTTATATCAAAGTCAGACAATGATGAAGATTCAAAATCAGGTCCTAGTGCTAAGCGACAACTACTTCAAGAGATGAAGAAAAGTGTTACTTCTGCGGATAAAAATTATCAAATTGATTCGGAAGTAGAGCAATTTATCTCTCATACACCTACGACAGATGAAGAACTGGATTGTTTATTGTTTTGGCGAAATCATCATGCAAAGTATCCACACTTAGCAGTGCTTGCAAAAGAGTATTTTAGCATACCAACCTCAAGTGTATCAGTGGAGTCCATGTTTTCACTAACTGGATTGATTTTGAACTCAAGAAGAAGCAATTTAAGTTCTTTCAACATGAACATGACTATCTTTATTCATGATAATATCAGTCTTATTTGATTTTAATTTTAATTGAAAAAAAAAAGTTGTGTTAATTTAAGCTTAAATTTATCATTATTGTTATTGTTTTCTTTTTGTCGAAAACAATACTAATTTTACTTCAGAGCAATTTGCGCAGCCAGAAGCCAGCAACTTTGTTGGTCAGCCAGTATCAGCTAGTTGGCCAAGTTGCTCAGCTTTTAGCCACCTGGTAAATCTGTCAGCCAGCTAGTGCAATGTTCTAAGCACGGCTTTAAACTCTAGAAATAACGATCAAAAATATCGAAAAAATTATTACAAACAACT